ACGCGTGGCTTGATTCGATTAACGTTAATTAATATTTCCGTAATTCTAATGAAATGTGTCTCGTTGTCGTAATTAACAATTTACATTGCATAAAATATAAAAGAATATAATAATGTGTGATCATAGGTACAAGGCATACAAGGAACGTATGCAACGAATGTACGTTGTACCACGTTATGATCCTGTTTACGTTGAGCCTAATTTAAAGGAATATGAGACCCAGGTGCTACAGATGAGCGTTCCAGTTGATGACAACGACAGTTACAACGACTTGCAACTTGATTTCAGCAACAAAAATCATGCATTCAGTTTGGACAACGTTAGTTACATTACCAAAGACCACGGCGGTAGTATCGGTAATAATAATATTTAACATATTATTTATTTCACTTGGCGATAATATATTTTAATATTATTTTTTGTTAATATTTCAAATCGTATCTCAAAAAAAAAATCGAATATTTAATTTTTTTTTATTAAATTATTCCAAAAGATTATTCGCGATAGTTTATGATATCATTGAGAGAATCATTATATTGGCGTTAAAAAAAATATAATAATTCTGAATACCTAATTATTATTAGGGACGTGTTTATGGTACTTGATAAATTATTAATAGGATTAAAAATCCCATAGAGATTTTTTTTTCAAAATAATATAATATAATCTTGTAACACGATTAATTCGTTAAATCATTTATATATAAACCATATAGAAATATTTATTACATTACCATTATAGCGAAGGGAATCGTGTTGAATCGATAACAACGTTTTCAGAAAATCATTTTTATGGGAAAATAAAAAAGTATATCGTTACGATGTTTCTTATTTCTCTTTCTCTCTTCTCTCTCTCTCTCTCTCTGGAGTTGTTTCCTCGTAACACGTAAAATGGCAAAACGATTCGTTCTTTCTTTTTTTTGTTTCACTTTTTCAAGGTCAACAGAGTCCTGTGAGCTCGGAAGCTGCAACAACGGCCCGTGCATCGAGCATCGCTGGGAATCATGCCGAGGGTAACATTCATTCCCTTAGACGATCAACTCTAGGTCGTAAGAACCACACAAGCAGTAACAGCAACACCATGAACAATCACGATACCACCACACCCGTATTAAATCCCCTTTACAATCATGCCGGTGATTTACTCAGTGCTAGTCCTTCCAACGATAACGTTACGTTCCGAGAAAAAAAGGATTATTCTCATCTTGGTTTTACTTATTTGTACGAACAAAGTCCCGTCGAGACTACCACTGAATTGTAAAACAATAACAACAACAACAACAACAAGAAAAAAAGTAACAAATCTTCGACCATGCTACTTCGGAATTATTATTTGCTAGAACAAATGGGAAATTTGTTTCATGGTGAAGAGTAGACCCAAAAGGTAATAGCATTGGAAAGTATTCCATATAAACGAGAGAAAAAAATAAACTGTATATATTATTACTGACCAAAAGTCGCACAGAAACAAATCATTTCTTTCATTTTTTTTTCGGATTTAAAGGGAAGAAGAGGGAAGTAAAACTAACATAATCTCGCGTTCGTAGCAGGTTTCATCGCAAAACAGCGAATACATTATAAACGACACACACCTCGCTTGATATTTTTCAAACGTGCCAGACATTTTTTTCTCTCCTTTTTTTCATTTCTTTTTTTTTTTTCTTTTATTTGTTTTCTCTTTTCGCGACTATATGAAGGCGTACAATTTTTACCAACTATATCGAAAAAGAAAGAAAGAAAGAAAGAAGAAAAAAAAAAAAAGAAAAGGGGAAAAGAAAACCTACATATACACGCTCATATACCTTAAAAGAAAAGTCCCTTTTCATAGGAATTATCAGTATACTCGCGAAATGATCGATAACGAACAAATAAAAACACTTTTTCGAGGGATTGAAAACCGATACGAAAAAAAAAATAAAGAAAAAGAAAGAAAGAAAGAAATAACCTAACGTAAAAAAGAAAAACATAACCTAACCTAAAAAAAAATCTCACGGAACAATCTCAACGAAAATCGCGAAGCGTAATTTTATCGATTTGGTATATTATATTTTGATAAAGTAAAGAGAGAGAGAGAGTAAATAAAAAAGAAATTATAGGAAAATGAAATATTTGAAAATATAAAAAGTACATCTATAGAAATGTATATATATAGGATAGAAAGAAAATATATATTTATATTTTTACTTTTTTTTTTTTTCGATTTAATTTATATCGATCTTACTTTTTTTTTTCTTTGACTTAAAGGAAAATTCTTGAAAAGATTAATTAACGGTGAGCAATCCTCGATGATGATCGATTAAAGAATAACTTTCATCTTCTTAAAGCCAACAAGATAAGATTTTTTAATCGATCATAGTGTTTACTTGCATTTTCTCTATTTCTATCTTCCAAATGAAAAAACAAAACCTATGGCTTTTCAATTGCATAGATAACGAATGAATTATACTGTTAAATGTTTTCTTTTATATATATATAATATCGAAAGTCTGCGTGCCGTCCATGAAAAAAAAAAAAAAACAGAAATAAAATATTCTATTTTTCTGTTTGTTTGTTTGAAGATATGATGATTGAAAAATAGCGTGCGTGAGTTTTTTTTCCGGTTATTTTACATATTATTTTGTTTTTATAGCGTGAAAGATATCAGAATGATCGATAGGACTGTATGATGATGATGATGATGATGTTTGAAGAAAAAAAAAACACACACACATACACAAGATATACCGAATTTGTGTGTGTGTATGTGTGTTGTGTGTGTGTATGTGTGTTGTGTGTGCTGTGTATTATATTCATTTTAATTATTTATATTTATCTAGTAATGTGTTCTCTATTCGCCTTCTATTTTGAATTAATTTTATTGCATTGTATAATAGTATTTGTATCGTTGTTAAACGTATACGTTATTTTTATTATTATTATTATTATTATGTTTTATTTTTTTTTTCCTCGAAGAAGTAGAAGTAAAAGAAGAAGAAGAAGAAGAAGAAGGGAAAACCGAATAAGGATCGATATCCCAGCATCGAGCTATCCTACGTGTTTCCTTTTATAGTTCATGGTGGTTTTTCTCTCGCACGATCATTTTGATCCGTAAAATGTGTTGCGAGATTGATGTACTTAAAGAGAAATCATTTAGGTTTAAGTATTGAAACCCGATTTAACGTCGGATTACTAAAGAAACATCGATAAACAATGTTTCAAGATTTTTGTCATAATTTATGGTACGTTTTCTCTAGTCTTAAGACGAAAATTTACACACACATATACACACACATATACACATAGAAATATGGAAAGTATACATGTATGAGTATAGTGTTTCGATAATGATGGAATAAGTTTGATTGGAATAAGTTTTTTTTTTTTGAATCATCGTGGTTGAATATTATTTAAGAAACAAAAAGATTGAACACAGAAGATGGATGTATAAATTGTTAATACTACAATAATAAATTTATTATATTTACATAAACAATAATAAATATTGTTTTTTTTTTTTTCAGTAACTCTTTCCTTCTTTTTATAAAAAGAGAGAGAAATATCATTTTTATTCGACGATACACGTTCATATACTCAAATTCGTGGGGGAAAAAGTTAATGAGCATGGTAAAAATAAAGAAAACAATGAAAAAACATTCTCTCGAAAGCTAATAAAAATCATATAAATTATTTCGATATAATGCCATAATATTATTGTGGAAAATGTGAGTTAAGGTAAAACGGTTCATCGTTGCGTGAACGAATACTTTGCTATAATATTTTTAATTAGTAAAAAATAAACTCACTTTTATATTCGTACATGCATTTAATAAAATATTTCTTTGAGACCTCGCGAATTCTTTTGGATAAAACGAATGAATGACGCAATTAACGAAAAAAAACTACTCACGACTTTGTTAACAAAATTAATATTAAGAATAAGAAAAGAAGAAGGAAACTTAGCTTATGCAAACAAACTCCTTTCGAATAATAATTAGAAATCAATTAATTTATATTTTAATTTTTGAATACAATGAAATGACTTATTCAACACAATGGAGATCGTATTTAAAAGAAAGAAAGAAAAAAAAAACATTAGCAAAGCTTACCTCTTAAAAGAATCACAAATAAAAATAATAATAATGATCATACTAACAAACAAATAAATAAATAAATTAATTAATTCCGTATTGTGTGAGAAGCAATAATAAAGGCAAAAGAAAAAAAAAAGAAAAAAAAAGAAAAAACAAAAAACAAAAAGAAAGAAGTAAATTACATCAATAGGAGGGGGTGTACGTAAGAATTGACGACGACAACGAAGTAGAAGAATAAGACGAAGAAGAAGAAGAAGAAGAAAGATAAATAGATGTTAAAAGTAAAGAGAAATAAAGAAGGGTGGTAAATGGCTGGGTAGTGGGGTGGGGTGGGGTGGGGTGAGTTGGTGGTGGGTTAGGGGGTAACATTTACGGGCGGGGATCGACTATGGGATGAGATAAAGCGTCGGCGCATACGCAGTCGCATATCTGGACCATCGGTAGAACGCAAACTCGAACACTAAAGTATGAGAGAGAGGGAGAGAGAGTGGGAGAATGAGAGAGAGTGAGACAGAGAGAGGGGGCTGAAGAAGAGAGGAATGAAGAGACCGAGCGCAAAACGGGACCCGTAGAAGGCTGGAGTGATCCGCGTCAGCTCTTTCGGGAAATTACGAATTATGAGAACCAGTCGTGGGAATTTTCTAAACGACGAGGACGACGACGAGACGACGACGACAACGACAGAGGTCGCCCATTTAATTTTTCCGATTTTTTAAAGAGAGAGAAAAACAAAAAACACCGTTGCAATACGTGGATTATTATTTTTTGGGACCTTTTGTACCTTTTGTTCTATTTTAAATTTGTTTTTCCATTTTCCGTGGGATAAATAAAATCAAAAAGTTTAAATATATTATCATCGTTTATATATATATATATATATATAATAATATATATATATAATATTCGTTGTATGTGTTGTAAAGAAGAAAAATAATAATATAATCTATCGTCGCGTTATTAATATTTTTCTTTGAATAGATATATTATTATTATTATTATTTTGAAGTGTCGTATACGAAAGTTAAGAGAACGGGGGAGAAAAGATGGATGGTTAGAACATCAGTTCTTCAACCCAGATCGATCCCTAAAAGCATCAGCTTCGAGAGAAAGTGCCGTTGCTTGGCTACCTATCTCTATCCTTCTTACTCTTTTTCTCTCTCTCTCTCTCTCTTTGTCTACCTTTTACGTTTTAACACTTCCTTTTCTATCCTTTGTTTCATCTATTCGGTTCTTTGAGTTACCAAGGAATCCAAGAAATACCCTAAAATATCCTCTGTGAAGTATAAGTGATCGATATCCTAACCCCCGGTCTATGAACCACCTGTAAACTGTACTCCGACTTTTGGGATTAGATTGTTCGGGATAGAAACGTGTAACAAGTATTTTATTGATATTATACAATTTTTTTTAAATTATATTTCATTTTATTATTTATATATTTGATTTATATTTAATATTATTATTATTGTTATTAATTTTAATGTGTGTTATCTCTCCAACGCATATAATAACGTTGATTTACCGTTTTATTTTTCTTATCTAATCATTCCATTTTCTTTTCTTATCATTTTTAATTGAAATTTATTTCTCCATCATTTGCGCGAAATAGAGTGATTTTTTAATTCTAATTTCGCTGTTCCTCGTTAAGCCGGAAGTTTAAGTACGGGGTAATTCACTCTTCGTGGGAAATAACTGGTTAACCACACAGGTAATTTCGTTTTTACTAATCTTAAATAAGTGCTTAGTTAAGAGTATTGTAAATATTAACTCAACGTTATTGAAATATTTGATTAATAATTGTTTTTATATCAAATTGTATTTTAATTTAATATACCCTTAAGTTGTTTCGCGTAAGTAAAATCAATTTGTTTTGAATTTTATATTTCAAATAAAATAGATCGTAGCTCTCTCTTTTTTTTTTTTTTTAGAAAATTGTTATCTCGTCTTAAGAGAATTTTTGTTTTCTTTAAATTATATTTTTAAAAATTATATATTCTAAAAAGGGAAACTTAAACGACGAGGAAATACATCTTGCCATTCGTTAAGGTAATTTTCTACTCCGACGGGAAATAGGTTTTAGCAAAGTGTTGACAAAATATTCTTGGTTCGGTTGTGTAACTTCAAAGTTACCACGTGACGGTCTTTTGCATACTCATAAACCCTTTTAGGTTGGAAACTAATGAATTTCGTGCAGTCCTTTGATCTCGACCAATGTGATTTGCACTCTATATATGTGTATGTACATATGTATTTATATGTATATGTACGTATATATACTTAAGAATGTATATAACAAAGAACTCTTAACGTTGACAAATTTCTAACGAAAGTTTCGAAAACATGTTAAAAAATATTATTATCAGACGAGTTAACCGTATTTATTTACAGAAAGAAATTAAAACACATTTGCGAAAAAATATAACTTCTTAAAACGTAAACTTTCAAAAGGAAACAACAAAACATTTTACACCGTTCTCCCCCACAATGTGTAATTGAATCTGTCAAATGAAACGTAAAACATTTTTATTAATATCGATCGATCGTTCGTTCGTTCGTGTGTCAACGTAGAATAATTTTGAATCTACTCGAAAAAAATAAAGAGAGATATCTTTTTCTTGTTTTTTTTTTTTTTTTTTTTATATAATACAAAGTTTTTTTTTTTTATCACATTCTTTCTATTTACTTGTATGTTCGCAGAGATTGATGACCGGTTGGACGTTGTCGTTTTACATTGATCGGGATGAAATACTTGAAAGTGGCAGTGTTCACGTTCAACCTTTTGATATGGGTAAAATTCAAATATATTTCTCTTATTGTACAATTTATATTTTATATAATTTATTCCTATTAATAAATTAATTCGTAAATTAATTTTACGTATCATCGGGATAAAGATTATAATAATTTGATCATTTCAATATGTGTATATATATATATAACTAATAATTAATCAAAATATTATATCACAAATTGATTTTATGAGATTTTATTGAAAAAAGAAACGAAGAGATATTGCAAACAACCAAAAGAATCCTATCGATTTTTCTCTCTCTCTCTCTCCCTCTCCCTCCCTCTCTCTCTTTCTCTCTTCCAATATTTAATTCGAATAAACGTAAAAGAGAAAAAGATGAGAGCGTTCGATAAATAGTCCGAGTGTACCTAAGTGCATGCATATACGCGTCATTCGAGCGTAATAGAGAAGGTGGATGAGAAGAGGGGTGGGTGGGATGGATTAGAGGGGGAGGAAGAGAGAGAGAGAAAAAAAAAAAGAAAAAAATAAAATGAAAAAATATGAAAAAGTCGTGATACGTGTCCCTCCTTCTTACAACCCCCCCACCACCACCACCACCCCGAAGCCCTATCACACATTCTCCCCACTCGTTGTAAAAACTATTATTGTAGAAAGTTCAGTTAACTGTGATCGAGAATGTGAAGCCGGATAAAAATAAATATTTTCTCCCTTTTTACGACAGTTGGCTGGTTGCACTGTACTAGTAATAGGAGCATGGTTACTCTTGGAACCGAGCAAAGGACACCTCTTGAATCTTTTCGTTCCCGATGTCAAACCTCACGAGACGATTGATTTGATAGCGTACAGTTTGGTCGGGCTTGGTTTCACCGTATTTATGGTTGGTTTCTTCGGTTGTCGTGCTGCCCTACGTGGAAATCAATGTATCCTTGCCACTGTAAGTAATTTATACACACACACACACACATACAACGATATTATAATTTATATATATATATATATATTTATTTTCTAATTAACCCTTCTTTGCATGATGATGGAAATTTCAATCATAATATTTAGTCAACAAAAAATGGTACTCAAAACCCTTGTACCGTATATTTGTTGTTGCTGGCAACTTTTTAAGCGACTGTTGCGTACAACAAAACGCAGTTGTCAAAAAAATAGCACTAGAATTTTTTAAAATATTTTTCCTTTAATCTAGAGCATTAATTACATCACCCTGATTTATTTTAAAAGAAAAGAAAAAATCATGTAAAGAAGGGTTAATATATAATATAATATATCTGTGTTAGATAAGAAAAGAATAAATGACGTTCGAGATCATTTCTATCTAACGAAAGGTTATCTTCACATGTTTCATATTTAAATTAACCCCAGCCCCATAGAAACCAATCACCCCCCCGACCCCAGGCATACGCCGCGTGTGTTGCGGATTTCGCATTGGAAAAACTATTATTATTGTTATAGTTATATTAATATTACAGAGTGATACCACAATGATCGGGGTGTCAAGGTCAACAATCTATTTTTATCAAAACTCTATCGTTTTATACTCTTCTTTTTTTCTTTTTTTTTTTCTTTTTCATTTACTTAATCCATTTGTATTTTGTTGTTGTTGTTGTTATGTTGTTGTTTGATTCAGTACATGAGCATGCTGGTCGCCCTGATCGTAACCGAATTAGTGACAGCAGCAATCGGTGGTCTGATGACTTATCGAATACTTTCCGATTTGGAAGAAAGATTGTCCGATAAATTGTCTACGGATTATGGCCACGACGGGACCAGTGATAATTCGTTCAGTCAAAGTCTCGATTTCGCACAGTACAAGGTATGAGCCCCCCCTTCTCCTCCCTCCTCCCAATAATTGAGTTTTTCCTCAAGAAAATTAAATTGAATTACTTTGATGATCAGCTAACCTCAACTAACTAACTTCGTGAAACTCGAGACAAATATGTTATCTTAAAAATAAGTCACGTGCCGAAATATCCTAGATTTCTTCTCTGAAATATCAGTTGAAATTCTCAAACAATTATTCATTTGAATTTGAAAATTATTCATTAGGTTTCAAATGAATTAACTAACAATAGCCTTGTATACGATCTATCGTTCATTGTTTTAAATTATAACTGGTTAAGTTTAAATTATAACAATTGTATTATATATAATTCGATTATTTTACGTGTGAACAAGCTTTTTCAGCACGAAATACGCATTTATTCCGCAAGAAATATCCGCGTTACTTCGAAGAATTCGTCATACATATACACACACACACATATATATATACATGTTACACTTACGCGTACACGTAGAGACACAGATAAATGAATCTATTGTAGTTTAATTGCTGCGGAGTGCACAGCGACGCGGATTACAATGGTACAGCATGGTGGAGGGACGGACAAATTTCAGGAAGCAGAAGACAAGTTCCGCTCACTTGCTGCGTTCTCAAAAATACCGAGGTAATGTTAATCAAAAATTAACACCTATCTGTGTGTGCGTGTAACAAAGACCATACGTTTCGGTATCAAAATTAATGACTCGTTGAAAAGTTCACAATTCAATTGTTCTTATATTTTTTGTTTTATTTTGTGTTTTTTATTTCATTATTTAATTTTACGATAATTTAAGAATCGTTTCATTCATTATTTAAATCAATGTTAAATCGATTATTATCCAGCATTCATTTGTAAATCGTATGAAATATCCGTCCTTTGATCGGTTGTAATATTATAAATGAGATAGGATTAATATTAATGAAATATATTTTACTTCATTTAAATATATAGGACCACACACAATATGAAACTTTATAATCTTAAGGATAATTATTAATCGTTAATACTTTTGTGTAATATAAATAAATATGTATATAATAATATTTATTTCGAATTAAATTTGGATAAAATATCAATCACATTATTTGATATTGAATCATCTATACTTTTTTAATGATTAACAATCTAAGTGATAAGAATTTCATTATGATTATTATCGGATATTTAATTGATATTCATTATAGGTAAAGAATACAGGTAGTCCAATGAGCGTAGTCTCAAGAGTATTTCACAAAAACGTGAGTAAATTAATTAGAAGAGTGAGTTATATGATTGAGGGGAGCCTTGGTTTCATTGATCATCATTGATTATGACAATAGAACGAGAAACCATGGCTTCATCCACAACCGAAGGACGAAGCCGCGTGTCAAGTAGAAGACCAAGAAGGTCACAAGGGTTATCGGCACAAAGAGGTGGGTGGTTCTTACTTTAACTATCTATCTATCTAATGAAAAAGCTCTAAAAGTATTTCCACTTAAAGTAATCGACGAACGTCGTTTTCATTAGGGTTGCCTAGGAAAAGTTAGCAACTGGCTTCAGAGTGAAAGCTTCACTTTAGTTTTCCTAGGCATGGCTATGGCTGGTATTCAGGTAATTTATTCTCTTGTTGTTTTTATATCATATCCTTTATTAACATTTTATCTACATTTTTTTAATCTCATTTTATTTTTATTATTAATATTGCAATACGATAATTCCCAAAGTTTGTATAACCGAAATGTTACATAATTTAATATTACGCCATTAACTTGACATTCATTTATTATCACTTGGTATTCATTGTTTTGTTAGATTATTATTTAATAAAATAATATAACTTTTTACTTTTTTTCGTATGATGAATTTGTTAGAATTTTTACATAATTCGTAAACATTAAGCAAGGGTATTGAGAATAGACAAAATTTGGGAAACATTGTTGCAATATATTATTGCATATAAATTGAATAATATTAGGTTGTTCGAAAAGTAATTACATTAAGTCGCTTCAACGTATACCTAAATTTATTCTAAACCTTGAAATCATTTTACATTGTAGACATTTCGGACGTTATTTAAAACCTTATTATTGCGTTTCGATCTGCCAAGTAGCTTTTTTTTTTTGTTGGCATCGAATCAAAAATGGAAAATCATAGTGAACATTTTTTTTTCGTCGTATCATATATTTTTTTTTATTACCGTTTAATGGGTAATAACGCTTGTGCCAACGAGAACAAAAATATGTGTCGTATGTTAAACGAATTACTTTTCAAAATTTCGTATTTGAAAAGATGTCAACTATTTTTTAGGTCGCTCAGTTGAAAAAAAAAAAGAAAAAAACAACGACGAGAACAAAATAAAAATAATAGCGAATGTTAATTGTCTTATAAAAACGTTGAACAAAAAAAATGGCCGACAAATTGAAATTAATTCGATTCGACGATTTACTATAGTTTAAAACATTTTGTGAATTTTATAATACGAAATATAATTATCTATTGTTTTCTATTCGAACAAAATCAATATTACATTTCGAACAACATAATAAATAACATTTCTAATAATAGTATCGAAGTATAATAATAAAAAATAACCTATATCTTTAGAATGAGCGGGAAGCTCAATAATGAAAAACCTAACCTATAAAATATTTAACTTTTAGACATTTGGTATAATAACGTCAGCGTTCCTTTGTCGTACTATTCGAGATATGCAAACGGATTAATGCGAGCACAACTTTGAAAGAAGATAAGAATTTCTTCTACGATTACTAGGAATATCGAGGATATTTTTGAATGGAAGAAAATAGGAACGGCGAAATGAAAAAAGAATGAAAAGTAAGCAGAAACGTTTTTTTTTTCTTCTCTCCGACTTATTTCTTTGCTACTATTCAAAGAAGAAGATAGCAAAGGGAAGAAAGGGATTCAGGATTACTACTATCTTCTCCCGTGGGACAACTTTTTCCAAGGATATGCCTATACGAAATTCAGAAACGTAAAAACTTGACGAGCAATGATGCGAATCAAAAAAAAACGTTTAAAAAGGAACAAGAACAAAATTGTATTCGATTGAAAAAAATGTCGTCGTCGTCGTCGTCGTCGTTCCGAATCATTCCCGTCCCTTATATTTGTATGTTTGTTGTATAAGGTGAAACAATTTTTCTGGAACCAATGGAGATAACAGAAAAAATACGTAAAGTATTAAAATAAAATTAAAAAAAAAAAAAAACAAGGTATCCGTTGTAAATACATAGAAAAAATACGGGCGTTGTTAAAATCTCCTGCGTGATCGTCGAGATTCATTTTTTGTTCCTTCTTCTTTTTTTTATTTTTTTTCTATCCCGATATGAAATGATAACGCTGTTGAATGTTACGAATTCTGACACAATAATTTGTAAATATGCAATGCCATGTGCATCAGTCGGTACGAGTATACGTGTCATTTGAAATTATACTAACCTAGTTCTTTTTTTTTTCTCTCTCTCTCTCTCTCTCTCTCTCTTTCAATATATATATTATTCTCTTTTTTTCTTTTTAGGATTATTTTTTACAATTCTCTTTTGCAAAATCAATTTTTGAATACGTATGAGAATGATTTAACAACGATTTTCTTTAGATTTCATTTTATTTCGTTACAATGGTTAAAACAAATATTTCATATTTCGTCAAAATTAATAATTATTCGTCTCATAAAAAAGAAGAAGAAAAAAAAAACAATGAAAATATTATATATATTTTATATTGCGCAAAAAATAAATATGATAAATTAAACCGACCGATCCCCCCCTTTCTCATCGTCATCTTCGTTAGCGCTCGCGCGCATATACACGCACACGTATAAACATTTACGTATTTGCGATACGCGTGTTTGAAAGTATTTTTCCTACCTCGTGTAACATCACTTTAACAAATCTTTTATTTTTTTTTTTTTTTTAATTTATTTCGCGTCCAATTTTTTTTTGTTTACGAATCAAACAACCATTTCGTATGTAATGTATGTGTGTACGTGTATCCCGTTTGAAAGTGTATGCTGTGTGTGTTTAACCGAACGTACGACGAAAAAATTGTTTATTGTACGTCGTACGATAATAATAATAATAATAATAATAATGATAATTAAAAATAATAATAATAATAATAATAATAATTAATAATAATAAAATGTTTTATTAGGCATGACAATACTATATAGAAGCACAATCTTTTGATATTATTTCTAAATTCGCTACGAAGAAAATAATAACTATTGTATATTTTATTTGATCCTTCGTTTTCTACTGTCGTATTTTTAAGTACAAAAAATATTTATATATGCAGTACATACACATATATACGAATGTAAATTACAGTACTTTTATTTCCAAAATTTTGTTTTAATCATCGAAGAAAGAAATCCTGAAACAAACAAATAAAAAAAAAAAACAAAAATGAAATAAAATAAACCCCTTTGCATAAAAGTACACGAATACCTGATACGTATATCTTACACGAAAAGGGAGGGTGGGAGGTGTGGTGGGGTTAAAAAAATACAAGGTCAGGGGTAATGATAAACGTCACGTCCGTTTAAATATTGAACCGGTCTGCAATTAGTCAAAAGCAATCCATCATTCGAACAGATTTCTCGGAATTGTGCAACCTAAAAAGAAAACAAAAAAGAATGTCTGCCTTTGTCTTGTTTCGTGGTGTAGCTTTTCTTTTTCTTCTTTCTAATTATAAAGAAGAACAAAACCCGTCGTCAACCTGATTGGAGGAGATTGGTACAGGAACGGGATCGATAAGCCAAGTGACAATTTCACTGCAAGGTGGCTGAGTAAGAGAACCGTGATAGGCGTAATAATGATTTCCTTCAGTATTATGCAACCATGATAAGGGAAAGGGTGGTATATATACTTTACTACCAGGTTGTTTGATGTATCTCAAATTGGTGACTATATAATCCAAGTAAGGATTGTCAACAGGTATTATCTAAAAATGATCGAACATTTGATTAACATCGAATTGTCATTATTTTTATTCATTATTATTTTTTTTTATACGAGAATTTTTGATTACGTTGAAAAATGATGACACTATGACCACACCATCTTTGGCGTTTAGTATAGCTGCTTGAAAAGGTGAAAAGAGGTCACTTTTAACATGAACGAATTGCAATTCCATAGCATATCGGACATCGTTGATTGTATGTTCACTTCCTTCGTTATCTGATGGTCCCCAATGGAACATCATAGAATGAAATTTGTATGTATTAGTTAAAGGACCTCCTTTGATTAAAGGATACGCACGATCGCCACACCAGGTACCGCATACTATCACTGTTATCACACCAAAAAAATGTTCATTTAATCTTTTTAATTAATGATCATTTTGTTTAAATGGTGTCATATCTTTTCCTGTCATTTGTTTCATTTTTGTTAACGACAGTTTCAAATACCTTTTTGCAAAAGATCATCATAATTTAGAGAATTTGTTAAATATCAAATATTAGGGTTGAATCGAAATTTCGTTCGGTTTTAAAATGTCAGAGAATGCAATGCTTTTAATTGTACAACTTTGCCGTTTATTTGAAAAGTTTCGGTAAATATTTTTTATACTAAACGTGAATAGATTTTAATGAAACTTATATTAAATTAAAGTACACTCTTTTGTTTATACGTAGAATACCTTTTCGAGTTATAAATTTTGCATATAAAGTTCAGAAAATGTCAGAGAATGCAATGCTGTAAATTGTACAACTTTGCCGTTTATATGAAAAGTTTTGGTAAATATTTTTTATACTTTTAGCAAATGGATTTTAAAGATTTTTATATTAAATTAAAGTACACTCTTTTGTCTACRCGYAGAAYACMATWTYRAGTTATAAATTTAGCATGTAAAGTTCAGAAAATGTCAGAGAATGCAATGCTGTAAATTGTGCATCTTTGCAATTTTTTTCAAAAGTTTCGGTAAATATTTTTTATACTTTTAGCAAATGGATTTTAATGATATTTATATTAAATTAAAGTACACTCGTTTGTCTACGCGCAGAATACCTTTTCGAGTAATAAATCAATCTGAAAAGGTCCATAAAATGGCACAGAATGCGATGCTGCAAATTTTTCCTACTTTGCCATTTCTTTGAAAAGTTTTGGCAAATATTTTTTATACTTAGAGCAAGTGAATTTTAATGAAACTCATATTAAATTAAAGTGCAAACTTTTGTCTACACGTAGAGTACCATTTCGCATTATAAATCAATCTGCAAAAGTTCATAAAATGGCAATGAAATGTTTGCGGACTAGGCATTGTTAACATTGCCTAAGGCCAGGCATTGTTAGCATTGCCGGGGGAGGTTTGGAACCTAGGCCGGTAATGTTAACAATGCCTGGCCATCAGGCATTGTTCACATTGCCTGATCCGCAAACTTTTCTTTGCCATTTTATGAACGTTTGCGAATTTATTTATAACACAAAGTTGTACTCTACGTGTAGAGAAAAGAGTGCACTTTAATTTAATATAAAAATCATTAAAATCTATTTGCWAAAAGTATAAAAAATATTTGCCGAAACTTTTCAAAGAAATGGCAAAGTAGGAAAAAATTGCAGCATCGCATTCTTTGCCATTTTATGAACCTTTGAAAATTGATTTATAACACAAAGTTGTACTCTACGCGTAGATAAAAGAGTGTACTTTAATTTAATATAAATATCATTAAAATCCATTTGCTAAAAGTATAAAAAATATTTATCGAAACTTTTCAAAATAATTGCAAAGATGCACAATTTACAGCATTGCATTCTCTGACATTTCCTGAACTTTACATGCTAAATTTATAACTCGGAAAGGTATTCTACGTATAGACAAAAGAGTGTACTTTAATTTAATATAAGTTTCATTAAAATCTATTAACTTTTAGAATAAAAAATATTTACCAAAACTTTTCAAAGAAATGGCAAAGATGCACTCTTTACAGCATTGGATTCACAGACATTTTCTGCACTTTACATTTGATTTTCATAACTCTACAAAATATTCAACGCGTACAAAAAAAGAGTGTACTTTAATTTAATATAAAAATCATTAAAATCCGCTTGCTATAAGTATAAAAAATATTTAAAGTATATTCACAGAAGAGAAAATCACAGTTTAATCTTAACTTGTAGAAAATGTTTAGTAACAGTGAAAAGGTTAATATGTTGCTAATATTTGGCGAATGACTTTTTTGTTTTTTATTAATAATATTTTTCCAAAAAGTATTATATTTTACAGAAAAAAAAAAAACAATCTATTATGCAGTTTATAACACAATAAATGTAGGAACTTTGGCTTCATTCTAGTATAATAGTAATAATAATAATAATAATAATATTGAATCGTGTGACAAGTTTAGTAAATCAATTTACTAATTAACTAGTTAAATATAATATTGAATTTTCGAAATGGATTTATTTGATATTAACGAATAGAGTATACCAGAATTTCCATCGTTTGCCATAATCATAGAGCATGGTACTTCATCGTGACCAATCCATTCGATCTCATCGTATTCCTCGATTGCTATAGTAGTTGTTATATTGATCGGTGATTGATTGTAACCATTACTCTCCGGATAAAATACTTTCCAAGTGTGTGGTCCGTTATGTGCAACGTATCCAAATAAAATGATCGGCGAATTGCATTGTTGGATTAACGAGTTTTCGGAAAATACGTGGGACCACTTGATTAATTCACTGGACAGCAATGCTTTTTCATTTTTGCAAAGTGCATTGATCAAAATTTAAAGATTATTAATTTATTTAATATCGATCAGGGTTTACGCTCATACCTAAGAATATAAAGCTGCCGGATACTATCATCAATTCGGGCCACGAAAATCCTAACATATTTTCATCTCAATTAAGGAATATTTATAATTATCAAATAAAACTCGATCAAATTTGAAAAACTAATATGACTCATGTTAAGTAACATTGATATAATAACGCGAAATACACAATTATGCGAATATAATTACTTTTATTTTGGAATATTCGATATATCGATTTCATTCAATTGTTCTCATGTCAAATAAGAAAAGCTCGAACGCGCTTATAGAAAAATAATTCAAAATCCTTAAAGTACGATGAATTAAGAATTCTATAAAAGTATGTCAAATCGATGATATAAGAAGGAAATATATCCGATAGAATTCGTAATCGATATGCAGTGCGCCGGTAAGATTAGAATTCGATCGATGAAATATCTGGAAGAAAATATTAGCCTAATTCAACACACAAAACCTTAATCTCTTTTCGATTAAGGTGACAGTCCGAAATGGGGTCAATCTCCGGTGGATATTGACGACAATCATGTTCTCAGAGTTGAATATCCTCCCTTAACTATGAGTGGTCATTGGAGTCAGGATGGTTATGCGAATATTAGGAACACAGGTTCTACCGGTAAATTATAATGATTAAATATTTGTTGTTATTGACAACGTTCAAAATCAGAAATAATTAATATTTATTTCTACGAAAGAGATATACATTTTTTAATTTCGTTAGAAATTATTCTTAACGTTACCATAAATATATTAAATTTCAAATCCCATATAGAAACATAATTTATCAACAGATGTAATATAATTTAAGAATAATAAATTGAAATGAAATAATCATAAATGTTATACTATTGCAAGATAATGAATAAATTCATTAATTTCACTGACGCGTTCGATAGATTTCAATTTAGTTATTAACATTTATTAATGAAAGTTAACTAAACGTTAAACGTAATATTTAACATTATAGTTGGGATAACTTTGGAAGGTAATAGAAGTCCCGCAACTATTCGAGGTGGACCATTAACAGACGACGTATACGAACTCTCAGAAGTTGTTTTTCGTTGGGGCTCATCGAACTGTAAAGGTGCCGAGCATACTCTCAATGGAACATGGTTCACAATGGAAGCCCAAGTTCTACACTACAACCGTAGATACGAAGAGATTGAACAGTGTTGGGACAAAAGGGACGGTCTAGCGATTTGTTCCTATTTTCTTCAGGTTTATCAACTTCCTGCTTGGGATGAACACCCATTGTTCTCAAAGATCACTGATAATTTGTATAAAATCACCGAACCGGATGCTAACGCCAAAATATCACCCAGTATGTTTTACCAATAGTTGAACGAAAACGAATAAAAAGAACCCACCCACCCCCGGCCCCTGACTCCTTCTCCTCCTCTTTTTTTTTTTTTTTTTTTTTATTCAAGGATTTTTGTGTCCAAACAGTTTTTTTTATTTTTATTTATTCTTTTCGTTCCTTTTTTTTTTACAGACTGTTTGAGTTGGATGAGACAAGCTTGTCAAACACCGGGTTATTATACCTACACCGGTTCCATTACCACTTGGCCCTATCACGAATGCGTAACTTGGATCATATTTCCAGAACCTATACGAATTTCGGAAAATCAAGCACAGTGTTTTAGAATGTTAAGAAATAAGGAAGGAAATTTTATCAAAGAAAATTATAGAGAAGTTCAAAAAATCAATTCGAGAATAATATATTATATTTGTTGAAATATTTGATTTCGATAATTATCTAAATTATCTGTATTCGTGTTGAGTACTGTATAATTTAATTTAAAAAACAAAAAAAAGATAAATATGTCAAATGAGATGAAAGTAGATATGTTAAATATTTCGATATGTGTTCGTTAACAACTTCACGAAACAATATGTGATTAATGTAACAAATATGAAATCAATAGGTTAACGAAATTAAAAAATGTTTACTAAATTCTAAAATTGTTTCGGTCACATTAATTATTTAAAATTACTTTTGGATTTTAATTTTCAAGACCTTGTTATAATAAAAATTATGCCACGAAGATTGAAACACGATTCGCGTAAAGGTTTGTATTAATTTATCAGAAAAATATCTTTTTCTTTTTAACTGTGACACATGATGAGAATTTTTTGTTTTTCAGATGTTGATGTACCAACAACTATTTCAACGTCATCCAGTGGTCAACCAAAGTGGAGACAATCACCAATTGATTTGAGAACAATCGATACTTGGACTCAAAAGTTTCCACCTTTATTGTTAACCGGTTATTGGTTAAAAAAAGGAAATGCAATTATAACGAATACAGGAAAAACAGGTTCCTATAATTGTTCTCTTCGTAAATTTGTATTAACATTTTCAACACGCGTAGAATTTTTCTTGTTGAATGTTACAGTCAACATAGAATTGTCGAATCAAACGATCGAACCTTATATACATGGTGGCCCATTGAACGATGATGAATTTAAATTAAAAAACGTACAATTTCGTTGGGGCCCAACCGATTCTCGGGGTGCTGAACATTCTATCGACAATATTTGGTAAATTTTTATTTAATAATAAATATGAATAACATTTTGTGAAGATGATGAACAAATTACCCGAATTATATTCGATAGATTGCATCTGTTAAACCCTAAGGAAATGTTTTTTTACTCGATTAAACTTAACCAATGAACAAAAGCTAACCAACCGATTTGCTAACTTTGAAGGAAAATTTATAAATAAATTAATAATGATTTTTATTTTAAACATTAGGGTCCAGCTAACGTGGAACGTAAGAATTTATTGTTTATATTATATCGATATTTATGTGTCCTTGATAAATATTTAATTAAATACGAAATAATTCTGATCATATCGTTTTAAATATTTTATCTCAATAATATCTAATTTCATTCTATTATTTATTTAAATTATTTCAATTTAGGTATTCGATGGAAGCCCAAGCATTGCATTGGAATACTCGATATGGTTCATTAGAAAAATGTTACGACAAATCAGACGGCATTGCAATACTTGCCTATTTGATGCAGGTAAAATAAATGAATTATCTTTTTTATAATCGATCATTTGTACTATTAATTACACAAAATTTCTTAATACAGGTAGTTGGTTGCCAAGGTATGCCAGATAATCCTGCAATTGCACGTGTAACCGATCATTTATCAAAGATTAAGAAAATGGGGAGTAGTATAGAAGTCACCCCTGGTATATATATATAAAAAGAAAAAAAAAAGACAAATTATTTAACGAAAAGTATGTTAGAACAATATTTTATTAGGGTTGATTATTGTCACAGATTGTTTGTGGTGGATGCTTCAGGGTTGTTCAGAACCTGGTTATTTTACGTATTTGGGTTCTCTTACGGTGCCACCTTTTAACGAATGCGTTATTTGGATTATAATTTCGCATTCCATTAAAATTTCTTCCCATCAAGTATGATTCTTCAATAATTATCTAACATTTATTAATAATTCGTTAATTTGTATTTTATATTTCTTTTTGTTTTTTATTTTTTGTTTTTTTTTTTTTCTTTTATTTTACGTAGATGAACGCTTTCAGAAGTATATACGATTACAAATGGGATCCAATCGTGAATAATTTCAGACCACAACAGCATCCTTGCGGTAGACGAATTTTATACGGCACAGAATTTACACCGTACCACTTTCGTGATTGATTAATTAATAAAAAATGATTGCGGCATTTGGCTCTGAATTTATTTCTAATTCCAGCCGTATCGTTGTTTCGATACGCGAATCATGGATATCGTTAATTAATCACTGAACGCGATCCGCCATTAAGCATTTCAATCAGTGTCGTATTAAATATAAATTCACAAGTGATATTTATTTATATATATTTCACAGCATGACACTTCTTCTTCCAGAATATTACAAAGGCGTAATCGGTAGGTAAAAATTAAACAAAATAAAAAAGAATAAAATAAAATTTGTCTACAATAACACAAATATGTAGAATACATAATTACTTAACCTAAAAATTTGATAAGTATCATTACATTAATATTAAACATTTAAATTTGATTTATTCAATACAAAATGAAAATGGGTAATAAGGTTTGGCAAAAAGTGGACAATCGCCGATAGATTTGAATGACAATATAATTCGTCGGAAAAGATATCCGACTCTTATTTTAAATGGTCATTGGTCAAATGAAGGAGACGCCATTTTAGGAAACGACGGAAGTGTCGGTAATAAAGGAAACATGATTGTTAATGAGAAAAAATAAATACGTTTATTTAAATATTGATCCAATTAAGTATTCTCTTTCTCTTATTAGCTACTGTAATTCTTGGTGGTAACAGAATACCATCCACAATTACTGGCGGGCCGCTTTTCAACGACGTCTATGAATATTTTATCTGCAACTTTCGTTGGGGCGAGGAGAACTGCAATGGCTCGGAACACACCATTAACGGCACTTGGTTACATTTTATATATTCATGAAATAAATTCATTTCTTTTTTCTTTCTTCTCTTTTATTCTTAGAACATCCTTGCTCTATATATATATTTTTTTTTTTTTATTTCTATTTGTCATTATAGGTTTTCGATGGAAGCTCAGATGGTACATTGGAATCGAAAGTATCCATCATTCGATGACTGTTTAAATCGAAAGGATGGAATTTGCATTATGTCATTTTTATTTTTGGTATGTTACTTTACGTTCATTCGATTGCACTTGGCAAACAAAATTATTGACGAGTTTTAATGAAATACATATTCGAAACAACAACGATTGCGCATGATGTCCCAGTTTGTTTTTTTCTTTTCTACAACTTAACTCATACGATTCGTTTAGTACTTCTGTTACAACTTTTTTAAAATTCAACATTTATAAAACTCATCTTCGTGTAACAACTTTTTTTTTGACAAAAATTACTGGAACATATTGTTACATTCATAAATTTTGCATGGAATTTTCCTAACGTTTAATAATTTTAATTTTTAATTAACGTTAAAATAATTTACTTTTTGTTTTTCTTCAGGTACCAGTCGGACGATCGGAAAACAATCCGCAATTAGAAAAAATTACCGAAAATTTGAAACACGTTACAGATGCAGGATCCGAAACAAATATTCCGGCCAGTACGATTCTTCGAAAGAATTTTCTTTTAATTATTTCTTTTGAAATAATTCTAAAAAGTACCTTCCATATATAAAGAAAATATTGTTTAGATGCATTATGCTGGATGAGATGGGCAACTCGTTGCGAACGTTATTATACTTATCAAGGATCGTACAACGAAGGTCCCTGCAGTATTCTTGGATATCCCGAATGCGTTACTTGGATTATTTTTCCAATGATGATTAACATAAGTCCTTCACAAGTAATGATTATTTATTAATTTAATAATAATCTCGCGTTAAAATTAAAAAAAAAAAAAACGAATTTAATTGATAATATTAGGTAAACGCTTTTCGAATGTTGAAGGATGATAATGGTAATTTTATTAAAAATAATTGCAAACAAATTCAATTGTTACGCGGAAGAAGAATATTTTTGGGTATTCAATAAAATTATTCGAACCAAGGTATAATATAATATTAAGTTTTAAATAAATTAATAGTAATTGAATTAACATCAAGTAACGCATACGAAAAATAAGAAAGACATAATACAAATTTTATATACACACA